GTCCAGATTCCATCTCCACATGGAGTCCCAGACTACTAGGCCTTCACAGACCCCGAGCTGTGGCTCCTAAAGGACAGGAGCCCTGTCTATTGTGCACTTCCAGTGCCCCCATCACTCACACACAGTGGCTGGCATGCAGGAAGAGCTCAATTAACACTTGCTGAGTTTACTGATCCCCTGTTGAGACCCTTGAGGCCACACACTTGGCTCTCCAAGACCCTACGCTCACTCCCCTCCCTGGCAAGTAGTGGCTTTTGGCCACTACTTGGAGCCACTCCCCTTTATTTCTGAAGTCCTTGTCTGCGATCACAACCCCCGCCCCTGCTGTTTTCCTGAGCCTGACCTGGGCCCATTCCCTGGATTGCTCCTGATGGCTTAGCATAGCAGTTCTCTCAGATGGGCCACATCTCAGTCAGGCCCCTTCTTGTGCATGCACTCCAACCTGTCAGCCTCTCTCCCTTGCAATCAGGGTTTCCCAACCTTGGCACTGTTGACATCTTGGGTCAGATAATCCTTTGCTGTGGGGCTGTCCTGTGCATTGTGGAATGTTTAGCAGCATCCCTGGCCTCTACCTACTACATGCCAGTTGCACCACTTTCCCAAGTTGTGACAACCAAAACTGTCTCCCAATATTGCCAAATGTTCCTTGGGAGGCGAGGTTGTCCCAGTTAAAAATCACTGAGCTAGATCATTCTGCCTGCTATTCCTAGCCCTTGCTGTGTCAGTAGATCAGTGTTGGCTAAAATCCAGAACTAGGCTGACAAGGCCAGACACTGGGCACGTCTTGTATTAGCAAAAGCATGCAACCCAAATCTTCATTCCCACTCACTCACACTCGCAGCCTAGTTCAAGTTCAAAGGTGACCTTGGGCTACCATAGGATGAGGGCTGCAGACATTGGTAAAACTGGCAAAAGAAAGATTGGGTATGAAAGGAGGAGACAGGGTCTGGGACAAACACCATTGTGGGAAAGAGAGAGCAGTGACCCAGGTATGAAGGATAGGGTATCGGTGGCCCAGGGTATGGGCGTGCATGGCAGAGGGAGATTTGCCTAGATCACCAGAAGGGCCAGGTGTGGGGACCTGGTCCTTCTAACTCCACTGCCCCTGTGAACAGCCAAGACACCCCAGGTACCTGGCTGGGCAGCGCTGTTCATGATCCTGATGAGTCTTTCGGCCAGGAGGTGGTTGTAGATGGTCTTCTCAGTCGCATTGGGCCCTGGGAGCTGGATTCGCTCCAGTTTTTCAGGATCCATGCCTGGAATGGAGAAAGGGACAAGCTGTAAGTAAGTGGAGCCACTTTATCGAGAGACCTCTGTATCCTGAAAGGACCCTTAGAGCAGGGCTTCCCCAACCTTGGCCATCCACCAAGGTAGGTTCTCATGATTTCTGCCATGATTGGGTGCTGTCTATACTAGAACTCACCTTAGAGTTTTCTGTAAATGGAACTTAAGGTAAATATATTAAAATATACATTTTCTATCAGTATATGTAGATAGGAAATCAGTACTGCTGCAGTATTGAGAGTAACTGTAACAAAAGAAAATGAAAAAGTTTTTACATTTTAGCCAAAGACTGCAGAGGTCTACTCCATCTGTGTTAAACAGGGCGCTTGGCGGGTACTTAAAAGGTGTTGAAGACATGCCAGCTCCAATGACACACTCCTGGACGAAATCAGAGGGAATGGAAATGGAATGGGAAAGGGAGTAACTTTCGCACAGTGTGTATCATTGCCAGTTCGTGCCAGGTCTGGGTGCCACACCTTAGGAGACACAAGTCACAATGGGGGTGGGAGGCACACATGGACCTAGAGAAACAGAGACCAGACAGAAAGGAAATGACAGTTATACCCAACAATCATACCTCAAGCTCTTAACATCAAATTCAAAGAGCTGGGCCTAGCACTCAACACATGCACAGGTGGCAGCAGGTGCCACGCTGGGCCAGGGGGTGGCACTGCAGAAAGAGACTAGGCTAAACCTTGTTACAGAAAGGTACAAACACCATGAAATCCATGGGGTGGCTCTGTCTTTAAGAGGCAAAGGAATCCCGTTTCCTCCAGTGTAAACTGACAGCTTAGAAAAGACAGAAGACAGGCCTGGGAGGGGGGGGGAGGGAAGCATGCAGAGTCTACTGTGAACAGAGTGGCATTTCCCCTAAAGCAGACCTGAAAGCTGGGGTGACAGGAAGCCCTGTGAGGGCTACTTTAACAGGCCACATGTGGGATGAGAGGCGTTCCAAATCCTATCCTCTCATCTAACAAAGCTCTGGAAAATAGGCTTGCAGAAACAAACATTTCTCCTAGTCCAAGCTTGGAGAGCTGAACAGATTGTTTGTGCTCGAAGCACGTCTTTTCCTGTTATTCTACAAAAGGGGGGAAGGTGGCACTTCTGGGAACTCTTGAAATACGGCCCCTTGAGTACTAGCTGACGCTTCATTTAGAACCTTGACAAAATAGTGGAGGATAGCATTGAAGAGCGGATTGTCTGGATTCTAAGCGACGCCCCCCACATTGACGTAAGAAACCATAACAATATATCTTGTTTTATTGAATTCCTTCCAGCTCCGAACCAGAGGCTAAGTCATGCCAAGGAGATGACACGGGTGAGGGACGGCTGGAGGGCCTGAGTTGGGTAGTTCTCTCTCACGCCCCACCACCATAGCTTCTGTCAAAAAATTTGATTGCAATGAAAATTTAATTTGTGGATTCTCTATCCCATTTTGATGTGAAATGTCTAACTCTGAAGCATTCTGGTTTATTAAATGGCAAGAATGTTAACTAAATCTTTTTGGCATTTGTTTTTTTCCAGAGATGTCAACACCGTCATCTCTGGAAAAAAACGTCTATCTTCATTTCTGGCCCTTTTGGGAACTGTCAGTCAGTGGTTCTGGGGAAAAAACCCAGTTCTTTTGTCTGCCCAGTGCATCACCCAACTTTATTACCAACCATCTATCATCCTTCTTCAAAGACGCCCAGCTGCTGGCTCCCTCAGGATTGTGGTGGTGGCCAGCAGAAGCAGGGAGAGACAGACAGACTCGGACCAGGGCTTGAATTTCTATGGTAAGCTCCATTTTGTCTCTTCCTATTACTGCCCCTAATCTCTTAGAACTTGTCAAAAATGACAAAAATCTGTGGCACAATCTTCTCTCGACAGGAAGAAAAACACTCCAAGATTATTCTGACCTTCCTCAACTGGTAGCTATGTTCTCTGTGAAGGGGGCAGAGGACCCCAGGGGACTAAAAATCTTCTAGAACTTCACAGGGCCAGATTCCAGTATAACTGCTTCCTTAGTGAGTAAATTAAGGACCAGAGATGTTATATCACATCCCCAAGGTCACAGAGCTAGTTAGAGGCACAGTTAGGAAAAAGGTTGAAATTACAAAGGTAGACAGGATCCAGATGAGGAGGAGGTGGTACTACCTGCAGGGTGAGCCACCACCTCCAAAGCCTCACAGTGCCCTTGGGCTCAGTCTCCCTCAGGGTACCTTCCACACTGTGGTCAGGTGGAGGTGGAGAGAGCAGGGTGCAGAGTGCAGAGGAATTTTTTTGAGGAATTCTCCTTGAGCTGCACAGATGGCCAGAACTTGTCAGGCCTAGGAGGGACTGCAGGACCGTGGCAGAGCTTGGGGAGGGCGGGGTGAAGCTTTGGGAGGAAGTGATGAGGCAGATGTTGAAGGGTGGGGAGGGACAGGCAAGTCGTGGATGCCAGGATCCCTAGAGGGCAGATAGAGGAGGTGACATGATCTGGTTGTGCTCTCTTTGCTGACTTTGAAGGGTCTCCATTCCCCCAGCTACTCAAGGTAATCTCCACGCTCTGGCACTTTCCTCCCCACAGACTTGGTAATGTAACACATTCTATGTGAGGTGGATTTTATCAGCAGCCATGGGGAAACAGAAAGCAGGATTGATTTCATACACCATTTGGCAAAGTTATGTCTTAAAAAACCCCTTCGAACATCTCCATTCTTTCCCCAAAGTTCCTCCTGGGCCAGGTTCCTCATTTCTTTCTCTTCTCCCTCTCTCTCCACCATGGCCTCTAAAACCCCCTCTGTTACTCTGAATTATCCTACCCTGGCAATTGGCTTTCAAGGCCTGTGCAGCAATTCGAAAGCTCCACACATTTTTCTGGGTCCAAACAAAATGACAGCTGACAGTTGTGAATGAACAAGGTCAATGTCACATATGACAAAGATATGCATATGAAAGGGAAAATGGCTCATATGTGCACGGGTGCACACACACAGGCACGCGCACACACACACACAAACACTGGTGTTCAGTCACTGAAAGGCAGGTTTTGTTGCAAACTTGAGTTTCTTTGCTAGCCATTTCCCTCTGACTGAAATAAACACTGTGGGGAATATATTGTCCTATTTGCTCCAACCCTTAAGTGCCGAGTGACAGACAAATTCCAAAGAAACCCAGATGCACTTTCCATGGCCTGGGAAGACACTCTAGCAAGTTCAGACTTCCAGCAGACCACATGCTTCCTTGCTCCCTTCCTGCCTGCTCTGCTGAATGAGTCAGGACAGGTCTCCCCTTTCCTCTGCTTCCACCCAACAACCCCAGGGCTGGGGGTGGAACTCCCAACTAACTAATCCAAAGAATCCAAAAAGAAGGGAAGGGTGGAACTCCGAGATGTTAGTAACCAGTTACTAAGCTTCCCCCTCTAAGTTCTGATTTCTGGATTCTTCCTCCTTAGCAGTAGCCCCCAGCAAAGGGTGGAAAAGAAAGACCCAGACCAAAGTTACATAAGAAGTAGACAATCAAACCTGGATAAAGAGACAATAATGCTAGGTAAATAATGGTCAAAATAATTTTCCCTTTTGACCAGGCAAGGTCTCCTTGGCTACAGTCACGCAAGCCTTGCCAGCTCTGGAAAACTATAGACCAACTATTTTGAAAACTAACCAGATGTTGGGCCGATTTCCAATGTACTTCCAGTTCTGATTATGTGTCAGTCGAGATCCAAAATGTTGTTTTGCCAGCTCTCTGCATGGCGAAAGCCTCCCTTTATCCTATTACCTTTCAACCTTTCCCATACCTCTCATCTATGTTCCAGTAACTTCTCGGCAAAACAAAACAAGCCCAATTCCTTTTGGGTAAACAATAATAAATGGAGGGGCAGGAGTAAAAGGGTGGAAGGTGAAGTGGGGAGAACTTTTAAGAATACAAACGTTACAAACCTCCCCTCTCCCTGGGCCAGGGCTCTGCAGACCTGACAAAAGAGAGAAGACTGCATTTTCTATTACAGATATGAACCAGAATTCATTATGTGGCCCAATTGAATCACAACGAGCGCCTTCCTCCAACCGGTCAACCCTTTCCACTGAGGGATATTCATTTCGGTACAGCATCTAATCTATTATGATTTACTGGAAGGCCTGAGCTAACATTTGGTTTTTATTAACGTTGCTTTTATGTTAAAATTGTCTTATGATGAAAAATCTATCAGAAAGAGACCATTTCATTAGGGGGCCTGCTTGGAGGGTATGGATCTGGAAAAGAGAGGCTGAAAGTTAAGTGCAGCTAACTGCCTGCTGCCCAATCAAAAGTCCAACCAACCACTACCACTACCACCAACACCACTACCACCAAACCCCTCACCACCACCAAATGCAGACCCTGTGCCCACAGGCCAGGACTAGAGCATAAACAAGGTGGTAACTCCCCTACTAGGCAATTTGCCCCCAGGCACCTGGGCCTCAGAATATCCAACATGAACTTTCCAGCTTCCTCTCCAAACTGCTCCATGTCCCATGCTCAGTGGTTCTAGAAATGGCACCACCAGCCACACAGTGGCAGGAGTCAGGGATCTGGGCATCAGACAGACTTCTTTCTTCCTTGGTGCCCCCTCCCATGCAAATCAAGCAGAACTCCCCCTCCCCCAGTCCTGCTCCTCTCCTTGTCTTCCCATCTTAGTAAATGGCCCCACATAGTTGCTCAAGTGTCCCTTTTATTCAATCCCCACATCCAATCCATCAGCTTGTCTGGCTCTTGCTCCAAAATATATCATAAAACCTCCCATTTTCCCCCATCTCTACAGCCAACATGGTAATTCAATCCATATTAGCCCAGGCCTGGACCACTGCAATAGTTTCCTAACAAGCCTTCCAGCCTTCCCTCTTGCAACTCACTCTCCGACCCCAATTAATCTACTTTGCATCCAGCAGCGAGGGTTCTTTCAAAAATTTCCATCATGCCATTCTTCTAATTAAAAATCCTGTAGGGGTTTCCCACTGAGCTCAGAATAAAA